CACACACACACACACACACACACACACACACACACACACACACACAGGATTAATGAAACGGCAACTGTTTAAAGAGGCCAGCAGTGGCACTTCCAGCCCCTGTGCACTGTTGGGAGAGAGGGATGGGCTGGAGCTGGAAGGTAGATAGAGAGGAAGAGCAAGCCCAAACCTGTGCACTTCATAATGGAGCAAAACAAGGATGTGGATGAGGAGAAGGGGGGATAATTTTCAATATCTATTAAAAAAGCCTTCCATGTTTTCCATGGACTAGACCTATAAGAAGCAGTGATTATATTTGGTGCCATTTGTTGAACTGACTTTCCATTGCCCCATCCACTCTTGCAAACGTAAACTATCAGTTTTAAACTTCAATTATCAGTTATTTAATGTATTCCATTCTCAGCTGGTCACCCCAAAGGCTTATTTGTGCATAGATGAGTTTTCAAACAGCAGCTGGAATAGCTGAGGCAAAACCTGGAGCTACTTTGAAGCCTGATTCTCCCAAAACCAAAATGCATTTCACAAAAATGAAAGCATACCTTGTTAGAGTCAGTAGCTGGCCATGAAGATAAAACTTATCCATATTTTTTATTCAAACAAGTTTTCTGCTCGTGCAGAGTGCCATAGTTCTAAGTGCTGTAAGAGCACCAAAAAGTTTGAGAGTCTCAGAAGTTACTGGGAAGCTCCAGATTGCACCCAGTGCCAGATGTGCTTCTTTCTCCATGGCTAACACAGATCTCTGCACGGGGACAGGCTCCATGCAAGTTTTCAGCCAATCTGGAACCATGGGCCTGAAAGTGAGGATGTTCCAGACTTGGTTTTGTTTAGCTCCTTAATGCTGCCAGAGCTGCAGGCTTTCCTTCCACTGAGCCAGAAGCGCTAAGCCATCTTCCACAATGTTCAGTGTGCACTTCAGATCAGGGAACACTGGAGGAATTGTCTGGTGAATACCTTCATTTAATCTTCATTTGTCATCACAGGGATAAGCACACTGCTTCTCTGAACTCTCCACAGTGCACAAAGTGTAGGCTTAGGATTCCTGAAGTGTCTCTTCATTCCATTCCACTGACTTCTTTGTCTTTGTTTCGAGTTTCAGGGAAGCAAGATAGATCTATCCATGTTTGAGCCATGCTGGTTCTTCTTTCCTTGAAGCAAAATATCTCTCTAACACAAATAATGGATGTATGTGGGGAATTAGACTCGATATAAGGCCAATCTATTGTCTCAGAAACAGTACCTTGATATATTGTGTACCTTGAACCCCAGATGAATTATTTTCGTCCTTGGATTAGTTTTGAATTATGTACGTTTCTATCAAATCTCAGTTGAAGATGAAACAAGTGGACACATTCAACACACTTGACACACCTCAGTCAGCCAGGCCCCAGACATCTTGCTGCTACACCAGGAGTTCCCAGTGAAGAGTAAAGCTCAGCCACATTCCTTGAGTTGATGGATCAGACACTGCTCTCCCCACCTCAGCTCTGTGCTTGGAAAAATAAGCTTGAAAGCTTCTGCTTCTGTGAGATGCACCCTTTTACACTGTATCTAGTGTTATACGAGGTGAATTCTCCTAGATCTGTCTAGTTTTGCTGAGAAATTCTGTTTATGCCAAACATTTGAGGACATAAGTTAAGAGCTGCTGGGCTACCTACTTAATTCTGCTTCAGCTGACAGACATATCAGCAGAACCATACCTCTGAGCAGCTTAGAAAGGTAAGTTTAAGATTTAGAGACTACAACTGAACTGTTTGGAGACACTGTGTTGAAGTGATGGGAGGCTGTATAACCGGTGAATGTAGAGCTCTTATAGTTACAAAATATACCAGAGAGTTTGGCTAAGCAGCTATTACACCAAAAGAGAACAAATAGAATGCTTACCCATATCCTGGACTGGTCATAAAACTCCAGAGGAGGGATTTCCAGAAGAAACCCTTCCTTAGTGGCAGTCAGCTCTTAAATGGGTCTAGGAGAGATGCAGCCAGGTTCCACCCCTTCGGCAGCACAGCTGAATTGCCTTCACCTGTGCTCCCGTGGCTGACTCATTGCTCACTCAGGTGATCAATCAGAGGTTCAGGATGTGATTCAGCAGTTCCCATACAGAGGCCAACAGGCTTCAGATATCTAGTGCACAAAAGGAAAAAAAAAAAGGTAACTTGGTACATTAAATCTAAAGTTTGTTTTAAAATAAAAACATGGTCAATTTCTCTTGAAATTTCAGTTTGTCCCTTTCTATAAAGGGAGTGGCATACTGATAACATTTTCATACATAATATGATTTCCTCTGTAAAACATATTTAAGAATTAGGAAATGGAGAGGAGAACGCTGTACACTAAAGGGATTTGCATAGATCATAGCTTTACTAGTGGGTTTACTGGTTCACAAATAGCAAATAAGATTCCCTAGCACTCAGGCAATGAGAAGCACCCGCTGGTGGAGCTACAATAGTATCATTATGTTGATGCATTTCATTCTCAAAATGAAATGATGGGCTTTTAGCTTTAGGGTCATTTTTTTCTAAGGAATTTGAAGGACATATTAAATGGGATGGAGAAAGGGAAGAAACGGTCAGGAAGAACACACCGTCCAGCACAGTTTACTTCAGGGCTGAACATGAAATCCAGGGTTTCCAATATTGCTTCAGATCTTGCAGGACAAATAGATTTCATTTTTATAATGAAATTCCGTATTTCTAGATATGTATTTCATGTTAATGCTCTTGGCTATGACCAACAGCCAGAGCACACAAAAGAGATTTCAGTAAGAATTTTTTAATTAACCTGTCTGAACAAATGATAAAACATATGCTGGGGGGCCATGTCCTGCTACTCTTCTATGCTCACTGATACATGGCAGATTGATCTGTACTTCAAAGTGCTATGAAACTCAACGGCATCTGAAAAAATATTCATTTCAAAATCCTGACTTTCCTGAGGTACAAGCTCATTCTCATACTGGTGTGTTACTTCTCTGTAAATTACATGCCAAGCTGAATTTGTTCTATGAGTGTGAAAACCAGGAGGATGTGTCATTAGGCCCTGTGGAGAGCAGTGTACTGAGGATGGCAAAGGCAGGGGAGCAGCCTAATATCAACTGTCAGGCCCAGGGGTTGTAGTCACATCCTCTTATCATCTATGATTTATGTATCTTCTTAGCCCTTTCATCTTCTGAAGAGAGAACTGACAACATCTGGCAAGTGCTGAAGAGTACTCGGGAGCATGGATACTGTCACACTGAATAAGGCAGTTTGTCTGTTCGTGACCAGCCATTCTCTCTGCAATGCATGCATCTGCTCTCTGAAAGCATGCCATACCACATGCATCAGGAGTTGGAAATCTTCTATAAGGTCTCCATGGGATCTGAGCATAATTGTGAAATCTTTACTAGCATAGATGAGTAGTGACTGACTTGTGTGAATCACTGTAGTTACTGCAGCTGTTCACCATTACGAGTAACAGCTTCCCAGTTTGACATTTTTTAGCTGATCACTGCTTGTTTTTCTTGCAGTATGTTAAATCTTCCAGGTGAATTTGTTACCTGGGTAATGTTATGACAGCTCTTCATGGAATATACCAGAACGGACAAAAAAACCAATATGGAAGTATAAGAATATTTTTTGTTTGATCAAGGGCTTACAGCAGCAGTTCCTTTTAGCGCTGTCATGTCATTTGAAAGATAGGAATATTGTGCTAAATTAGAGGTTACTTAGTCACAGTCTTTACGTCTGCAGAAGATGATTTTAATATGATTGCTCTTTTTAATGAGTAGGTGTGATGCTATAGCCTGAAGGTATGGCAAGATTTAAATGATGGCAATTAGTCCAGGAGAGAAAAATCAAACTAGGAGAATATGAGGTGGGAGGTTTCATTTCACAGAATCCCAGAATTGCAGCATGGCTTGTGTCTCTCTGACCTGCTCTCTGCTCCAGCAGGGCCACCCAGAGCAGGGTACCCAGGCCCATGTACTGGTAGCTTCTGAAGGTCTCCAAGGAGGAGACACCACAGCCTCTCTATACTGCTGTGCCAAGGCCTTTTTCCTGCATAGAGAGTGAAAAGATAAAATGAGACCAAGGACTGTCTAGTCTGAAATTTGTGTGTGGAGTATCCTCATCTTTAGCCTTTTCACTATTTCTGTTCAGTGTGCCATGGTTTGAAGAGCTGCATTTTATGCCTTTTTTTCATCCAGTCAGCAGAGCTGGAATGAACTTGGTGCCAACTAAGTGACAACTGATATCTGTGATTCTATGAGTGACCAAACTGGATCCTTACCAAAATTCTTACTTTGACCCTGTTCATGGTAGATTGCCATAATGTAGTCCTAGAAACATATCTGAAGCCTGTAGTAGTATTTTTGCATCTGCTGATTTATTAGAACAAACAAAGGATGGGTCACACAACTTTGTGGTCTTGGAGAGGAGTAAGTCTTACCAACATAGCAGAAGCACGTGCTTACTGGTTACCATCTAACTTTCCATTGATAGCTTTTAGGTATAACAACCTATTAGGTACTTTTTCCATCTAGCTCTTCCAGGGAGTACTCTCTCCTAGAGCAGTTCCACCAAGGCAAACTACCTAGAGTACTTAATTGTTCTAATAAAAGGCGTACCTTTCTTTCAAACTCTTACATTCCACTAAGTTTGATATTTCACATTACCAGGCATGACAATTACTTTGCACTTTCCTATGGTTGGAGAGTAAAACAGGTCAATTTGAGAGTAGTCTGGAACATGGAGTAGGTAACAATACCGTGAGACAACAACAGTCTCATTAACTGCACGTGTGCCCTTCAGCAAGAGAAAAGGTTTTTAAAACACTCATAAAAGACAAATCTGAAAACTCAAAAATGCTTTGGATGCCTACAACTGCAGTCTGATGACTCAATATTAACAAATAGTTCATGGTGAAATCAGATCGACTCACTTTGTCTTTTTGTTAAATAAATTTTCCTTTTCGGTGTATCTACACTGAAAAATTCTGCTTAAGTGGGATGATTCAAATGAAAAATATGTACTCTGTTCCATTCTATTGCTTATATATTATTGTTGCTGTGTCTTTACTAGGTGAATCACTGGCATTTATGAGATTTGGATTAAGCATAGTTTAGAATTCATAATTATAAGCCTACTCTGTTAATGATTACCAGTTTAATTCTGGAGAGTAGTCAGACACTGTTCAAATACTTGTGCCAAGATTTATAATATATTAAGATTTTGTACAAAAGAACTCTCACTTCTTTACCTAGATGTACTAAATAAATGGAAAGGCAAAATAAATCCTAATAACTGAGAGCCTTAAAGAAATGCAAAATTGGATTAGAGGTGTTCTCCTGGAAAAAATTCCTTACAGGACAGTTATGCCTTCAAAGTAAGTTTGTTTGTCCCTCTGAAAGAGTATCTGAACTAAATCACATCACTTCTCAACTGCTGTAGAGATAATAAAAGTGAAATAGCTTTTGGGAATCTTAGGCAAAAGTACGCATTAGTTTAGTCTAGCATGTTTCTAAATAAGAAAGGTGGGGCTGTCTGCAGGCCAGTCCAGAATGTGGTAAACATGTCACCTGGAATGAAAGAAGAATGAAACTCACCCTGAGTCACCCAGGCTGCCAACCTCACGCTAAAAGGGAAAGAGAAAGACCTTACCATGTTTCATGGGGTGTGTGGGGGGGAAGAACTGCACTGAGAAATCAGCAATGATTAACAAACATTATTTAAACACAGGGTAGGAAAATGAGCAGCTTTCCAAATAACTCCCTTTACTACAATAGCCAAGTGGAAAGCAAGCCAATTCCTTTAATTAGGATATGATATCTTGTTCGCTTGTTACCTCATCAGCCAGCTGCAACTTATCATAACCTTGTTGATGAGCTCCCAAAGTAGAGCGTATTTTATATGAGGCTGATGCAGTACTTACTACTATGGAGCCTGCTCTATAACCGACATTGTTAACACTAGTACTGCCACTAATCCCAACAAAAGTTTTGTATTGGAGACAATATTACCCCCAGGAAAACACATGTACATACAGAGCTAACAAATAAGCCTGGTTATATATTAACTTAATAATAAATCCTAACGCAGTTGGAATCCAGAAGAAAATGTATTTTCTTTCATCTCATGGTGTATATGGGGGAATGGTCAGATGACGTGTAGAAAACCTTATGCAAGGTCAGGCTTACCCACGTAGCTAACGTTGAGAAAAGTATAACAAAAACCACAGTAAGAGTGCCTTCTGGAATCAAAATTTTGTGTACATTGCAGAGAGGTGCACTTCCCTTGCCTTTGAGACGTTATACATTATTTATTGCCCATGAATATTTTGCTGGAACAGTCCCTGTGCACCTTCTGTTATACAGGCAGCGCTGATGCCGAGAACATTTCATCACGTAATGTTCACCTCATGGATGTTTCTGGAAATAAGTAGGTACTTCAGTCTGTTACAGAGCTGCGGTTTTTTCCTTCCTCTCAACAGAGTAAAATGGATAGAACCCTAAATGAGGTTTAATTGAAGATAAATATAGCTGCACACAAATTTCCTGGTCTTTTGAGATGATCTCTTTGCTTTGTGTGTCAGTTTAGGATTCTTGCTTCCTCTTTCCTTCTCTCCATTTTCAAATAGATTTAGTTTTCACGATTGCATGAGGGCAGTTTGGTGCAGTGAATCACTCTTGCATTCCTGGTAAATTTGTAAAGAGTATTTGTCTTCATTCTGCAGGAAAGAGGAAGATCAAATAAACGTTTCTTCAGCTCTTCACAGCTCAAGGTACTTCCTTCCAGGGTTGGTTTCATCTTTTCTCCCTTTCTTTCCTTCTGTTTCACCACTCAAGAACTTGAAATACTCAGGACCTCAAAGCCCACCCAGTCCCACCCCGTGCCATGGGCAGGGCTGCCCCTCAGCATCTCAGCTGCCCAGGGCCCCATC